ACAGAACTGGGGTACAGGCCAGAGATGTGGAGGGTGAGAGGATTCACCAGAGACAGAGTGGGGAGCAGAACAGGCAGATCGATGAAGTACACCGCGGAGGGGAGCAGCTGGTGTGTCAGGAGAGGTCTGCCAAGCCATGTGCTCACCTCCGGGACTGGCGTGGATCGAACTTATATGGAAGTGGCTTTAGTTTCCTAGTGCTGTGCTTTAACTGGCTGTGCACCAGGGAGGGCCTCAGGGCTCTTTTTGTTTAGGCCAAATAGTACCTCCATGAGCAGTGAGTGCCTCCCCACTCCCTGAGGTCCTTTCACAGAGCCCAGCTGTATCTCTTTAACTCTGGGGTTTTACCACAGTTTTTGTGGGGAGATGTGGTAAGCAGGTAAACCCCTGAGCAAGTCTTCCCGTTTGAGGCACTTCCTAGGGCCTCTCTATGTTGAATGTGCCCCATGCAGGACTGTTAAAATTGCTGCATTATCCTAGGGTTGGGCCTGTGGTTGGGTCCTGCGCCCCGCCCCCCCACCCCCCAGCAGCTTGGGATCCACTCACCTAGCTGTGTTGTCTCAGTTTATATCCAGGGCTTTGTTGGGGCTGCTGGGGCAAAGGTCAGCAACAGGTATCCTTGGGTCTCTGGTTTCTGAGCTGCAGCCTTTTCCCACAATTTGGTTTCCTCTCCCTAGCTGAATTGTCTCAGTTTATTTATCTCCAGGGTTGTAGCAGTGCTGGGACAAAAGGCTGCAGAGCAGCTGCCGCCTCAGGGAGTTTCCCTCTGCAGTGCTTCCTGGGGTCAGGGCACCTAGATTTTTAAAGGAGCTAAGCGAGTAGGAAGCCGCTGGCGTTCCCAGATATAGTTGGAGGGTTCAGCTAATCCTGCCAGTGCGGCTTCCCTTATGGGAACTCCCCAATCGCTGGTTCTCCCTCAGTTATTTTCCTTCTAGTGAGTCCAGGGCGTTCTCATTTGGGTTGAAACTAGTAGCATGAAAGACTATAGTCTGTTTTTATATAATCCCGTGCGAGTTTAAATGTAGTCGTCTTGGGGTCTTTATTCTGCAGCCATCTTGCCAGTTCCGGAGCTAGTCGAGCTGATCAGCAGCTTTGCGCGGGCCCCCAGGTTCTCCCTTCCACTGTTCATTTTTAAACAGTGTTTGCACTCTCCTTTCAGGTGTAGCCCCTATAAAATTCTCACCACTAGTTCACCTGTGCATCATCACCAAGTTTCTCTGTGTTTTTCCCTCCCTTGTTTTGATCCCTCTGCCTCCACTGCAGAATGTGTCTGATTACTAGTTGCCTGTTAATTTTTTATTTATTGTTATTATTTTTCCCTTATTTGGTTCTCCTGTATTTCTCCTAGGAGTGAAACCATCCAGTATTTTTCTTTATCGTTCTGATTTATTTTATAGAGCATAATCTCTTCTAGCTTCATCCACATCACTGCAAATGTTGTGAGATCACCTTTTTAGTTGCCGAATAGTATTCATATATATGTGTATCATATATATATATATACACACATATATATATGTTAGAGAGAGAAAGAGAGAGCACATGTTCTTGATCCAGTCTATTAACTATTTTCCTCTACATGCATGTGTTTCAGGTGTATAAAATATTTAGTTTATCTGTAACCTAATGTTTTGTGATAAGCATTTGTTCATGCTATTTACAACTTTTTGTATGTTTCACAGAGGTCAAGGATTGTTTTGTTCAGTGTTTCTTCTGCACACAGAGGAGTATATAGCACATAGTATATGTTCACATAGTAAATGAATGAATAATGGGAATACTTGAATTTTATTATTATAGATGACCATACTCTGTGACAGGCAACATTTTTTGAAACACATATTTTTCCTATTTTTCACCATTATAAACAATAATGTGTATATTTAGGCGATTAAGACTGATGTTGTGTCTTTATTTTGGTTAAAAAAATGGATGTATAATTAGTGAAAAAGATGTTTGCATTGGATAGTTTCCTTAGTCACTATACTTTGTGTCTATTTCTACAAATCCATCCTGATCTAAGGTCATGACTTCTTAAAACATTAATATCCCATAAAATACATAGAGGAACACATTCTACAACATTGGCTACGGAATGATTTGATGAACTTGACTCCAGCAGCAAGTGAGAAATTACCAAGAATAAACTAATGGGACTACTTCTAGTTAAAAAGCTTCTATACAGTTAGAGAAACTGTCATTTAAACAAAAAGACACTCTACTTAATGGAATAAAATATTTCCACACACGATGTCAAGGGACAAGGGACTGATAACAAAATCTACAATGAAGTCCTACAACTCACAAAACAAAACGAGGAGCCTGATCAAAAAGTGGTCATGAGCAGTTCCTCCCTGGTGGTGCAGGGGTTAAAATCTCAGCTGTCAAACTATTGCCAGCCACTGTGACCTAAATTGGATCCTGGCCAGGGAGCTGACCCACATGATGCAGCAGGCTGCTTCTGTGTAGCCCACTGCTTCCCTCAGCAGTGTATTTCAGTCTAACTGTTCTGTTCCTCACTCTGTCCCAGGTGAATCTTTAAACTTTCCATGCCCCCTGACCTCTGTCCTATACCTAGGTTCTTGTATGCATAAATAAATAAAGTAAATCTTTAAAGGAAAATTACCAGGGTAGCAAAATTGACACTTCTCCAAAGAAGACATACACATGGCCAGTAGAGACATGAAAAAATATTCATCATTACTTATCATCAGGCAAATGAAAATCAAAACCATAGTGAGGTACCACATCACTCACATGAGAATGGCACTTATCAAGAAATACAGAAACTACAAACACTGATGAGAATGTGGAGAAAAAAGAAACCCTCATACACTGTTGGTAAAATGTATAGTCCACCCTCGGTGGAAAATAGTGTGGAGATTCCTCAAAACATTAGAAGTAG